TTTATATCCGCGCTGTTTCCCCCTGTATGGCGGACTGCCAGGCACAGCGATTCCTGTCATGACTGAGCTTTGTCTTGGCAGATCACCAGTGCTTGCACCGGTAACTATGTAGGATTGAGCCAAATCCGAGTGCAACGGCATAGCAGATGGTTAGATTGGACTGTTAGATGCCTACTTACGATGTTGTGTGCTTCTCGTTCCGCTACCCAACGTAGTGTGCCAGAGGTTTAGCGATTATGTTCATGACTCTAAATTCTCTTCCCAGTCAGAGGTTAGTATGGTAGTATACATTGAACTGAGATCAAACGCACCACACGAATGATAGGGCGTTAGCGCGATCACCCAACCAGCGAAGCCGCTCGTCATTTGGACTGAAGGGTGCCTTGTTCCGGATATACAACGAAGACCGACCAACGGAGGCAACGTGCTGAGCTTCCAGGAGAGTCTATGAGACGAGCACATAAATATGACGACAGAACCAGAATAGTCAATGTCACATCGAGACTGGCACGTCCCGTTCAGTCTCCGGAAGGAAGCGTTCCGATGCTGCGCGTCGAACTTGAAGGTCGACTTTCAACATTGGACATGCAGCGGACGTAATTGAGACCAGTGCAGGTGCCCCGACAACGAAATGGAAATCGCTCTTCCAGGGCATGCGGTATGTGCGGAAAGAGAGCAGAGCTCAGTAACCAATGTGCTGGTACCCTGTGACCTACTGGCTGGGCAGCCTCAGCGTCACCCTAAGATATCCTTGGAATTGGCGTTTCTTGTTTACGTGATTGTTGATGTGGATAATGATTAATGACGAGTCGGATCGTTCTGCAGGTCCTTGCATTGAGCTGTGGTAGCCCTGAGGCCCAGAAATTATCAATGACCTAGACTGTAAGCTGTATTGCAGGACATCCGAGGTTAGTGGGGCATTGTTATATAGGGCCAACTTATTCCAATCAGAACACCCACCATATGGGGCGTTACATAATCAATTGAGTACAGGGTATCTATCTCGACCAACAGAACAACTCACTCCTTGGGACTGGGCGGTATATGATGGAACACGAGGATTGTACCACATAATCAATACCGAATTATCTACCCAGAGCTGCGGGCCAGCATGTAGACACGACGTTCCCATAGAAGGTTGTACCACAGGCTTCAATTGAGGAGCTAGGACCTTGATCTGTTTCGAGGCTTACATAACTGCTTGCCGCCTCCTACCATTAGACTAAACTGTCCGCGACGACGAACAGGCGAAAGAGCCAGAGTCTTACAGCAACCTATAAACTCCAGTGCCTTCTGTTTCGTCCAGCGTCACATCATTCGTTTCATCAAGTCCACAGTCTCCACCCCACACATGGCCCGTGCACACCGCGTCGCAGCTTACGCCTCAGTATTCCTCGCCCTTTACCTCCTAGCTCTCTTCTCAGTAATACCCATCCCTCTCATCGACGCCGACGTTTCAGCGCACATACTTCCTCTCGTATGTCATCGTTGTTCTCTCGTTTTTCCCGGGGCCATCATGTCCATGTGCTGGCCATCCGGACTGACGACTTACGACTCCCACAGATTCCGTGGTGGCTGCTCGTCGCCTTTGGGTCGTACTCCCTCTGGAGTCTAGGCTGGGGGGTATTCACGTTTCGGGATTGCCCAGAGGCCTATCATGAGCTGCTGAAGGTGCGTTTTAACCCTCCGTAGGAGTATTCCTACCCTCAGCCCTTTCGATCTTCAAACTCCTACTGGTCAAGCTCCTGACGAACCGACGCGTCTAATTATTGCCAATTCTTAACAGGAAATCAACGATGCGAAGAATGACTTGAGAGGGATGGGTGTCACTGTAGACTAGCGCGCGCGAGGTGTACGCGGGACTACTCATTTTTCTCCCGCATCTTTCGACTTGGTTTCGATGGGCTGTAACAATATTTACGCTGAAGGAAATTTCTACGAAGGGCAGTCCAAGTTGGCAAGTCGATCGGGACCCAAAAAAAAGGCAGCGACAAGCTACCAAAAACAATCCGACCTGCCTGGCTCGAACAGGCGACCTCAAGATGATCTTTTTTTATCCGTTACAGTCTCGCGCTCTTCCAACTGAGCTAAGGTCGGTTCCTTGGTTAGCAAGTAATGCTCTCTATATGATGTGTTGACGAGTGCAATCTTGCATATGGCAGGACTTTTCTCCCCTCAGCAATCTGTGTCATGATCGCGCGCTGGAGTGATCGTGGCACGGGCGCAGGGAACGCCCAGCACTTGTTGTTCCTAGACAAGGGTATTTGACTCTAGGAGTCAGAAGGGGATTGCGTGTCTCTTGGCGCGTCTCTCGGAGGATTTCATCTTCATTCAACAGGTCTTCTCATAGTCCGTTTGTCTCGGCGAGGTTCCGTAGTTCGGATCACCAGGGCAATCAGTCGACACCCCCTCATTTGCTAATTAATGCATCAAGCGAGTTTCAAGGGTGCCTGGTGTTCCTTCATCAATTGCGGTTATTCAACGACGCGAGACATCGTAGGGGTGTCCAAGCCAGTGGACAAGCTCTGACTCACGAGAGCGTCCCTGCCTACCTGAAACCGGCGGTTGCGCATGCAAGACAGGCAATTGCAACACTGATTATGGAACCCCCACAGACAGTATAAAACCCATTTGTGAAAATATACCTTGAACACCAGCCTCATAGACGCCAATCTATACGGAAAGCCCCCTCGATCACGATCACGACCACCCCCACTCACATCTACACCCATACCTCTCGCCATGAAGAGCCACAAGCACACCGGCACCGCATACAGTGGCTACGTCAGTTCAAACGCATCGAGTTCCACTGCAGACCTTCCCAAGACACACAGCCAATTCCCCGCTCTTGCTCACACTGCCGCTGCAAAGGGCAGCAACAAAGGCGGGCGGCAGATAAAGGACTTCGAGGGTGCATACGCCTCGCTCGCGTCCTCGTATGGGGGCTTCCCGGGCGGGATTAACGTCCCGCGCATGAAGTCTACATGATGTGTCCCACCTCCATTGTCAGCTCAACGCCTATTAGTGAGTGATGGTGTTCGATCAAGGCGAGATCGCGAGCTGATGGACTGTTGATTGTAGTTGCAGATCCATGCCCTTGTCTACATTCCATGGTCACTAGTCCACCCACAGCGGTCCTTTGGCTGCGAGAGAGAGATGTAGTCGGTTGACTGTCGGAGGAGTGGTAGAAGGTCGACATGTCCCTGTAAAATGTCTCCATAGCCGTCCGTATCCACGCCCCGATGTTCTCTTTGTGGAATGCTCCGTTGTAACCTCCTGCATAGCAATCTTGATGATCAAGTCTATTCATCAACTGTTCATGCTGCGAGAAAGTCCCTTATGTAAATACTCTTAGATATCACATTGGGCCACCCTTTACGTTGACACTTAACAAGTCTTTCGCCGTGCTATGCAGAGTTGCGATTGGTAGACACTGATAGAGAAAGCAGGTCTCTGAGCTTGGTGAACTGCAAATGGGCGCAGTGCCTACATATTTACTATCTAGTATTCGGGGGGGTGGTTTAATTATTTTCCCTCAGATTGATCCTCAACGTGGCTTCACAGCAAGGAACGCGAAGTGTTGCCACTACATAGTACAGCTCTAATAGTGCAACGAGGCAGCTGCATCTGCAAGGTGGTCGAGTAACGTTACTGTCGCACTGCACTTTGCAAGTCTCCCATTGGCTGAACAAGCCTTTCGCGACTCTAAAGCGAGGCTTAGCGGGCCATGTACCTGTACCATGCCTAAAGTGGGTCAATTTTCAAACATTTATGAGCCTTTTTCGCATTTTTGGATTCCTGATGTGGCATCAGAGACAGCATCCCTTTACGTTGACGCTTGTCGATTATTTTGCCGTGCAATGCAGAGTTGTGATTGGTAGACACACTGACGAAAAAGGCAGGTCCCTGAGCTATACCAAAAGAGTCTGCTCAATGAGTGCTTAGGTTTGTCGATGTGGTCGTAGATGACAGTACATAACATTTCCGTGCTTCGGCCTCGCCCAGGCTTCGTGTCCTCCTTGCGCACCACAATCATACTTGCCAAACTCAATATTCACCTACCAGTGAACCGCCGGATTATTTACGAAGAATCCAATTAGACATCATGAAAGGGAGGTGACTACAATTGCCAGACCAGTGGGGTGGTATCACATGGATGGAAGTCGTTCGTTACATGGTGGGATTACCAAAAGGACGTGGAAGGGATACAAATGGGGAGTGAACAATTAGATGGCTGAAAGGGCATGTCAAGAACATGCGTGGGGGATGAACAGTGCGGTGTGTAATGTGTGAAAGGCCATGGTCATGGAATGGAAAAGAAAAAAAGAGAAAAGAAAGTAAAAAGAGGGAGAGCTGTTAACTAGTAAAATGGGAGATTATTCTACCTGCATCAGCACACCTGTGCGTCTAGCCCAGATTCATCGTCTTGCGATGCGCTTTCTTTGTGGGCCATCTTCTTCTACGTCCATCGAGTCTCCTGATTGAACTTGTGTCTGCACGTGACCTGCGGAACGCTGACCCCTTGTCCGCCTTCTTGCGTTTCCCGAACCGGAAATGATGGAGGGAGCAGCACTACTGCCCGGAGAGGAGGAAACGTCCACAGAGGCTGCTGAAGGCGCTGAATCGAGCATCATCATGACAGCGTGTCTGCGCTTAGCACCTGCTGAGAAGTCAGCATCGGTGATTGTGGTGATAGGCGCGATGGTGGGTAGACGAAAGTGGTTCTCAGAGGAGAGCGGGAGGGTATTCGTTAAGGCTGATGTTGTGGACGGGGCGTCTGAGAGGTCTTTGCGGGAGGGTGGTAGGCGGACTTTGGTGATACGTTGGCTGGCATAGGGGTGGGCGATTGAGCGGCTGGGTGTGATATTGGGAGAAGGAGAGGAAGGCCTATTTGGTAGATTGACATTGTTGATCAAGACTGGTGAATGCGGGGTGAGTGGGACTGGGCCCGTCTAGGGTGTCAAGTGAGTCAAGCAAACAGATTATTCGATAAACGATATCTTACAGCAACGTCGTCTGGTCTATACGAAGTAGAGGCTGTTTGTGGAGGTTTCTGAGATGTGCTGGAGGGGAAGGTATTGGCAGCGACGTTGTCTTTGTGTACATCGGTGTGCGAGGAGGCAGCAGCAGGAGGTGTAGCCCTTGCTCGTTCCTTTTCCTTCTCACGCTCTTCATCCTCTTCCTCCTCCTCCTCTCTCGACTTGACAGCCTCCATCCTCGCCTCTATCCAGTCCAGAATTCGACCGATTGTCATTTCGGAGTTGTGTGAGTTGTTCGAGGATGGGGCGATGCCACCTGCGGAGACGCCCTGCTGGACCATCATCATGAGATCCTTGCAGGCGGTCGCATAGCCAGCGTTGTACGCTCGCTTTGAAGCATGTCTGGACGATCGGTATAAGGTGGTGATACTAAGTGCAGCAACTGAACAAGATATTGGTGGATTAGCATAGCGTAGAACGCGCGGAAAAGGCTAACCTTTGAAGTTGTTGAGAAGCTCCTTCTCTGCCTTCTCGAAGCTAGAGGCTGGGAGTGACTTTGCGAGTCCGTTGAGGTCGAGGGATTCCATGGGTTGTTTTTCTGGGGTGCCGTGCTTGGACAGCTTGGTGTGCCCAAAAGATAATTGTTGAGGGCGAAACAGCACCGATGGAGATGGATTAGATAATATTTACAGCCATTTACAGCTGTTATTTTGCCCCAATTCGAAATTATTCCGGAAATGTTGGTGGTAAAAGAGATGGAACTTTGCCACAAATTTTTTGATATCGCCTGCGAATGAGTTGACAGGGGAACACACCGTGTCTGAGCGAGTCAAGGCTGTCAATGGGCACGCTGGGAGACAGCGCATGCGGTGTTGTGTATAGACCTTGTACGAAACTACTATCGCCTGAACTAGTTTCTGAGAAGGAACACAGTCATCTAACTGTCCACAAATACATACGGCAGCTATGATAATATCGACTTATCCACGATTTGTTTTTGTCTCGACATGTCCATGTGGTGTTGTTGGGTATATACTTACGAGTCTTTGACTTGTTGGGGGCATTGCCCCCAATCACCCTGTCATCCTAGTTATTATGTCAATTCCCATTTATTTTCTGTACCATGTGCTCATTCCTCACCCAGGCAACATGCCCCAGCAGTGGTCCACCCTAAACCATGTCATCCTCATTATTATTTTGACTCCCTTTTGTATGCTGCAGGTGATACATGGTCCACTGCTGAGAACATGTTCATGTTGCCATGGGTTTGTTTCTCGCCCAGGCAACATCTCCCCAGAAGTGGTCTACCCTAAACCCTGTCATCTCCTACACATCTGTACACACTGCCACACAATCATACACAAATTTTCAAATTCAAATTCACTTTTATTTTTGTTTTTGTTTTTAATTCAAAAAAATCATAACATATTATCTATTATACACAAATCTACAGTGAAAACACATGCTGTGGGCTGAAACATAATCAATCAATTTGTTTCACTTACTGTTGGCACCTGAGACCATGGGCAAGGTGTCCAACACTCAAGCAGCTTGAAGTGCCAGCTCCCAAGGTGATGGGTCCATTTTCAACATGTCATGTCCATTTTGAGACAAAACACCCACTCCCTGGGATGAGACAGTATTTTTTTTTTCAGGTGACTGGGTCTGATTTCAACATATTGGGTTCATTTTTAAGAGAGTGGGTCCATTTTCAACATGTTGGCTTTGCTTTTGAGGCAGTGGGTCTGTTTTAATCATGTCAGGTCCATTTTGAGGTGACTGGGTCTGTTTTGAGGTGGCAGCACCATTTCCAAGCCACTGGGTCCATTTTTTTGACATGCTGGATTTTGCTTTCGAGATGGTCAATCCATTTTCAACACATCAGTTCCAGTTTTGAAATGGCATATTTTGTCACATTGGGTCCAAGTTTGAGACAGTGGGATTATTTTTGAGTCAACTGGGTCTGTGTAAAGCAGGCAGGGCCATTTTTGAGGCCATATCAGGTGTGGGTGACAAAAACTATAATAGGGCTATAATAGGGCAGTGATTGCCCAGACTACTAGGGATTAGCTAGGAGTAGTAAATAGGGATAAAGGAAACTCACCTCAGCCCCTGCCA